TGGCATTAAAGACTAGGTCATCCTTCTTTACATGCTATGCACAAGCTTGGTTTAGTTCACAAGAATTCCTCAGATATTGCTGCAACTGCAGATTGTCCTATTTGCCCTCTAGCTAAACAGAGTAGACTAGTTTTTCCTCATAGTGTATCTAGAAGTGCTAAACCATTGGAGTTGATTCATCTTGATGTCTGGGGTCCCTATAGAACCCCTACTCATGATAGGAAGCATTTTTTTCTTACTATTGTTGATGACCACACTAGATACACTTGGGTCTATCTGTTGCAAATGAAAAGTGAGGTAATCACTGTATTAAAGTCTTTTTTGTGCCTAATAAAGACTCAGTTTAATGCTGTTTTGAAGACTATTAGATCAGACAATGGCACTGAATTTTTTAACAAACAGTGTTCTACCCTTTTTGATGCTTATGGTATTGTTCATCAAAGTAGTTGTGTTTACACTCCCCAACAAAATGGCATTGTTGAGAGGAAACATCGACATATTTTGAATGTGGCCAGGGCACTCAAATTTCAGGCCAACATTCCTGCTAGATATTGGGGTGAATGTATTCATGGTGCTGTATATCTCTTAAACAGGCTTCCCTCTGATGTACTGCAGGGTCACTCTCCTTATGAATTACTTTATCATAAAGTCCCTTCCATCACTCATTTGAGAGTTTTTGGTTGTCTTGGTTATGCCACCAACTTGGTGAAGTCTGATAAATTTGGTGTCAGGGCCAAACCTGTCATCTTGTTGGGGTATTCTTCTACTCAAAAGGGTTATAAGCTGCTTGATTGTGCGACTATGCAGTTTTTTGTGAGTAGGGATGTTATTTTTAAGGAACATTTGTTTCCTTTTACTTTTTCTTCTGGCAGTCGTTTGGTATGTTCCCCATCTCATGATAGGGAGGATAATATTTCACCACTGACAGATCATGAGATACTAGATCATAATCATGAAAGTATTGTGCAAAATGGTGCTGCTGCTGAAGGTTGTGTAGAGTCTGCAGATGCTGTTGAAGGTTGTGTGGAGTCTGCAGATACACATGAAGCTGAAAATCCTGATAGTACTGTGAGAAATGGTACTGGTGCTGAAGATTGTGTAGAGCATGCAGATGCACATGGAGATCAAAATGTGAGAAATGAAAGAGCTGAATATGTGGATGTTGAACCTCATCATGAAGACACACAAACAGCTCCAAGAAGATCTGGAAGAATCCCTAAACCACCATTGTGGCATGAGGACTATGTAACTTCAAAAGGAAAGTGCACATCGTTATATCCTATATCCAACTATGTGTCCTATCACAAGTTATCTACAAAATGCAGAAGAATATTGGCCAGTTTTTCAGAAATAGTTGAACCACATAGCTTTCAAGAAGCATCTAAGGATAGCAAGTGGGTGGAGGCAATGAAACAAGAAGTCAAAGCTTTAGAAGACAACAAGACATGGAATATAGTTGACCTTCCAAAAGGTAAACATGCCATTGGGTCTAAATGGGTTTACAAGATAAAATACCATGCAAATGGTAAGATAGAGAGATACAAAGCCAGACTAGTGGCAAAAGGATATAGTCAAAAGGAGGGACTTGACTATCATGAGACCTTCTCCCCTGTAACTAAAATGGTTACAGTTAGGTCCATTATAGCACTGGCAGCATCTAGGGGGTGGAACATATGTCAAATGGATGTGTATAATGCCTTCTTGCAAGGAGATCTAGATGAAGAAGTCTATATGGCACTCCCACAAGGCTTTGAGAGACAGGGGAAAAAAAAGGTATGCAAGCTGAACAAGTCTCTATATGGGCTGAAACAAGCTTCAAGGCAGTGGAACATCAAATTGACAGAAGCTCTAGTAGATGCAGGATATTGCCAAAGTAAATATGATTACTCTATGTTCACTAAAAGGATGGGCAGTGACATAGTAATTATACTGGTTTATGTAGATGACATGATGATCACAGGTAGCAGTGATGCTGTCATACATGAAACTAAAGAGGTTCTACACAGAAGTTTCAAAGTCAAAGACCTGGGAGAACTGAAATTTTTTCTTGGCATAGAGATTTTGAGATCCAAGCAAGGGATCATGCTAAACCAAAGGAAATATGCTCTTGAAGTTATATCAAAGTTGGGATTAGGAGGTTCAAAACCAGTAAATACCCCCATAGATGTGAACCAGAAATTCACTTCAGTAGAGCATGATGAATGCACTGGAAGTAAGGGTGATGAATTGTTGACAAATGTAACAGAATATCAAAGATTAATTGGAAAGCTATTGTATTTGACTATAACCAGGCCAGATATAAGCTTTGCTGTACAAACTCTTAGCCAATATATGCAAACACCAAAAAAGTCACATTGGGATGCAGCCTTAAGAGTGGTCAAGTACATAAAACAGGAACCAGGTTTAGGGATCTTGTTGAGCAGTAATGCAGATGATTCATTGAGTTGCTTTTGTGATGCAGACTGGGCTGCATGTCCAAATACAAGAAGGTCAGTCACAGGCTTCTTTATTAAGTTTGGACAGTCTTTGATATCCTGGAAATCAAAGAAACAGCATACTGTTTCCAGAAGTTCTGCAGAAGCAGAATATCGAAGCTTAGCTACTGCAACTTCTGAAGTGGTTTGGTTATTGGGGTTGTTTGATGAATTGGGAGTTCGAGTAAAGAAACCAGTCAGTGTGTATTGTGATAGTAAGGCTGCTTTGCAGATTGCAGCTAACCCCATCTTTCATGAAAGGACCAAACATATAGAGATAGATTGTCATTTTGTGAGGGACAAGATTAAAGAAGGGAAGATACGAACTCATCATATTGGAACCAAAGATCAAGAGGCAGATGTGCTAACAAAGGGACTTGGCAGAAGTCAACATGCATACCTGCTACACAAGCTTGGAATGCTTAATTTGTTACAGCATCCAGCTTGAGGGGGAGTATTGGAATTAGTTAACTGATGAGGTAGTTAGCTAGTAGTGTTAGTTAGATGATTAAATTCTGTTAGGATCTGTAACTAACAAAATGATGAGCTGGATATAATTGTATAGGAACTCTAGTATAAATACTAAGCTTGCATTGATTCACAATTTTTACACTGAATGAAACAATTTGATTTCCTTTCTCTTCTCTGAGTTACTTGAAAGATTTCTGCCATTGATGTGGCTCAGATTACGAAATTAACAGAATCCTATCGAAAAATTATATTGTGTACAATGGCGGAGCCAGAACTTATACACTCTAGCTACACAGTGTAATTTTCCGAAGAGGGGACACCCCGAACTTCATGTGGCTCCGCCACTGATTGTGTATATAGGTCAAAAATAACTTTGCAGAGACATATACTAAAGTTTAAAACACTGTTAACAATTTTTTTAGCTTCGCCACTGAAATTTGCACTATATCAACTTGTCTTTACCACATGAATGAATTCTCCGGGAGTACATGTGTCTGGTAGGTGTTGTTTCAATCAATAAAAGGAAAACAAAAAAAATCACGGCGATCAAATATTCATCCACAAAGAAACCCTAAATACTCAGCATGTCAACAAATTCTCAGTATAACAAAATCTAAGATAACAAATATCAATAATCAAACAACTGAACAGCGATTGAAACATGGAGAAGAGAGTGACCTTGCAAGGACGATTTTTGATGACGATGTGACCACTCTTACGAATAGTACCAGCTTGTTGAGGGTACGTCTTGAAGCTCCAGCATCGGCCTTGGATTCGAAGTGGTGCTCTTCGTCCGACATCGTTTTGATCTTTGACGGTTCGCCGGTGGAGAGGAATAAGGAGGAGGAGAAATTTGGGACTACTGGGACTGAGGGACTTTGCCTATTTCTTTTCGTGTATATAATAAATAAAATGATGCGTTCAAGTGACGCTGTCGTATTAACGCTAATTTTAATTTTCATCCTTATCCACTTTTTCACCGTCCCACGCGTGCTCACCCCAAGTTCATTTTTTTTAATAATAGAATAATATTGTATATATATAATAAAATCTATCTAAATTAATATTATTGAAATTATTATTACTTTTCGATAGATTAATAGTATTTATTAATTTCAAGAGTGTTTTCAAGATTCAATGAAGATTAATTTTGATTACATCGTTAGGGAGATGAAGTCTCAAGGAATTTAAATGAACCTTTTGTGAAAAATCATATTCGAGAATTTGAGATCATGATTAATAATCTCGGTTATCACAACAAAATGGATGTTAATAGCATGTTAGATTACTTGGGTAAAAATGATACATGTTCAGAGGTCCAAAATTTAGAAGAAATTGTGGATATCATCGAGAAAACAATGTTGGTGATGAAGTTGAAGTTGATACAACACCTTTAAAACAAGTTTCACATAAGGAAGTGATTATCACATCTAAAACTCTTCATAATTTTTTGATACAGGTCAAGAAGATAATACCAAAACTTTTGAATGAAATAAGAAAATTAAATATGAGCTTCAAATATATTTAAATTTTAACAAAAAACACTAGAATCATATTTTACTAAATTGTCAGAGATATTTTTGTATTTTTAGAGAATCATTAATTTATACATTAATAGAGCCATATATTTATATAGAGATCTTTCGAAAATATATTATCTTATTATTTTATCGAAATTTGTTATTCTTCCAACACAGATGACCAAAAACCGATCCCCCTTCAATGCCACATGTTTGTAGGCTATTATACAATACTCACCACAAACTGCTCACACAAAGGACAGAGGTTGTGGCTGACTGCTGAGGTTATAGTAGCTGCGAGTTATGTTGGAGTTTCAAAAAACAAATAATGGATATATGACAGATATTTTGATCATGAGTAACTTTCCGGTCCTACTTTTTTTTAAGAAAGAAAATTTTACCTTCTTTCCAACTATCCCAAATATGATTTCCGTTGAATCATTTCAACCATAAACTCCTCTTCTATCTGGTGCTTTGATCAAGAATGCTAGATGATAACATCAATGAGCAATAATTCTCCTTTCTCTATTACGAAAACAAAAATTTAAAATTTTCATTTTCACTTTTGGGCAAGATGAAATTATACCAATGGCAAAACAATTGTGTCCAATAATACCCATCGACTAATGATCTAATAAATTGGATGTAAACAAAGAATCACAATGCACAAGCAATTAACGAGAGGGCTAAAATCTCTAGCAGATAGATATATATATATATGAACATGCACATTGTTTTCTCTATAAAATGAATATACCAGTGAATTAAGGACCATTATTCTCTTTTGAAATTTTTACTTTTTTGCTCTTAGTCGAAGCCTCAAAACTCTTCAACTTTAACAGCATCACAAGGCATTTCATATGCAACTTTTGACCTTGATTTCTTCACTCCAGCATTGAACCACACCTTATCAGACTTGTAGCTCTCAACGTTGATACTCGTGACTTTGACCCATACCAACACCTTGGTCTTCATTCCATCTACTCCAGTGAGCTTTCCCCTTGACAGAGTTCCCTTAACGCGAGTAGCATATCTCATAACAGATGAATCCTTGAAGCAGACCTCACAGGCTGATGGTAGGTAGACAATGAGCTTTGCATTTGACTCATCGAATTCATAGCATGTTATGTTTTGGGGAAAAAGACCAGAAGACAGGTTGTATTCTCGTAAGAGATCCGGCAAAGATTTTGTAGGTTTGCCTAGCACATCACAGAATTATTTGCATCAGATAGGGAGCTATAGGTAGCGGAGAAATTGAACAAAAAATGTGTATGAACTAACTTTGCATCCTTGAGATACAATCATAAGTTCCAAGGGACAACTGTTGGGAGCGCCTAGTACCCATATTCCACTTCCTTTAATGACAATGCTATCATTAGGGATGTGCATTATACAAAAATCAACATGTCCAGTGTAATCCCATTAGTGTGGTTGGGGAGGGTCGGATGTATGCAAACCTTACCCCATTTTTATGGAGTAGAGAGGCTGTTTCAAGTAGATCGTATGTGAATTATGTAACCCAAAACCTGTACAGGTGTCAGACCCCTTTAGGATTCAGCTAGAAGTTATAATGTGGCACAGATGTTAGCTGGAGTAAGCTTTCTAGAAAACAGCAATATGCTGCAACAATTTCATGACGGCTATTTCCATTGTATGAATCAACACGTTGATGCTAGAAAACAGCAATATGCTGCAACAATCTCAGACCAGATTGTTCTACAAATTGATGATTTGACATGACATTGTTTATTTTTTTTGAGGAATGGAGCGAAAAGAGTAACATTAGTAACTATTTATTTCTAAATATGCAGAGGCAAATAGAAGTGGTCACTAGACTTTCCTGCTTACTCCTACCAGAGAAAAGAAGTTGTTTTCTTTCAGATTCAATCATTCTCATGATAGCCGAAGACTTGAATGTGATACTTGAGTTGAGAAAAACTATATGAACACATAAAATTATAGGCAGACAGAAAATGCAGAGTTGATTGAAGTAAATGCTTACCTTTTAACTTGTTGAAAATCCATTTTGCCTTTTCTTCAACAGTGTTCGACAGATTCTGAAACATGTGAAATCAAGCAGAGTGATGAAGTGGAAACTTGCAAGTTTATATACATATATGTAATTAGAACAAACTGAATTGTCAAAAACTCTCAATTAACAGATCAAGGTTTTCGATATTTGAACCGACTTAGACTTTTATGTGATCAAACAGACACCAATAGTATCAAATCTTAAAAGGGAGGAGGCTATTATTCTCGCCTAGATCAAAACTGGAACTGACTTCCACAATCTACAACCATAGCACTAATCTCTTCTCCCTGTCCTTTCACAGAGTGCCCAGAATTCTACTTTGGGTGTTTGATGAAGTTCATCTTCAGTTCTTACTTAGAGAAGAAACACTGTTTCCACATTTACCCGGAAAATTAAAACAAATCAGTAAAAACCAGAGGCAAGTTTTACATACGCAATAATACAAATCAGAAATGTGCAATCACCACAATTTCTTAATTCCAAATTTCAAATCAAAAGAAATTGCAAATCGTACAGTGGCATTGCAGAATTGACAGAACCATAAATGCACAGAGAAGAAGAAAACAAAATAGTTGAGAAAAGAAAGAGGAAGAAGCATACGGATAGGTCATTAGAGATATTAGAGATCTCTTGTTTGGCTTTCTTCGAAACCCAGAATGTACTTGATTTCAAGCTCACTACTGTTGTCAGTGCTTTCTCCATTCCAATTCTGTAACAACACTCAGAGCTGACAAGGAAGAAAGAAAATGCTCTATATATATCTGTTTCTGTGGATGTGAATTTGGGTTGCTTGTTTATGTATCACTGCTGTCATGTTCACACAACTCATCTTTAATCACCACTTATCACTCACTACTACCAAAAATAACGGCGCTACAATCAGAAAAAAGAACGATTCTAATGTGAGGCGACATTTTAAAAAAATATTTGAAATTTGAAATTTAAAAGTTTGAAAAAAAAAAAGTTGAAAAATGATTTTTGAAAATTAGGCTTGTGTTTAGATGTCAATATATTTGTAAAATTGAATTCTCAATTATTGTCAAGTGTTATCAACAACTAAACGAGTTGAGTTAAATGGAGAAGTACGTTAATGCAACTTTCCTTCCTAGTTAATTTACCGTGTTATTGTGTGACCAACTTTGAAAGACTGACGAGAGGGAGTTGCTCCGATGGTAAGCACCCTCACTTCCAACCCGAAGGTTGCGAGTTCGAGTCACCAAGGGAGCTCCAAGGGTGGGAGCTCCTAGGGAGGGTAAAAAAAAAAAAAACTTTGAAAGACTGGTTTTACCAGATGGAAAAATGAACAATTAAAACAAGATGGTGTTGTAATTTGGAAGGAAAATTTTGTGTATTAAAGAAATTAAAAGTCTCGCAAACTTGTGATAAAGTGATAAATTCGTTAATTAAAAAATATAAAATTCAAGTCGAAAAATTCAGCATTGTTTCTATTTATTTTGGGGTGGGGTAGGTACATGAATTGTGTTCTTATCTTTATTTAGGTGGCAAATAGCAATCATGTGATTTTGCCTTAAATCTAATTAGGCAATCATGTGGAGTGTTTATCATCTATTTGAAAAGTCATGTGATGGTGGATTCCCACTCAAATAATTTAAAATCATCTCTATTTCTTTGCTTCCAAGGCCATGTTAGTAGTTAACCCATCATTATGCTTGGATTTTTTTAAAAAAAATAAAATGATTGATTTTGTAAAAAACATTTTAAGGAAATGATTTTATGTTTAGATTAGAATTTACATTGTACATTATCAAAGTTTCTCTATTGAAAAGTTAGAAGAGTCAAATAGGGAAAAATGAGAGATCATAGTAGTTGCTCAAAACACAGGAGCAAAACCTTAAGCAGAAAGCAACATGATATTTGCTTAAGACAGAAACAAAGTGTATTATTACAAGTACTAGACCACAGATAGACATAGAGTACCATTACACAAACCAAGTATGTCTTTAGACTAGAAAATATATATATATCCATCACTGTAATTGCAAAGAAGATGTGCAGCATGACAGAAACCGCTGACTTGATTTAAGGCAAGAAGAGGTGAAACACAACAGATGTAGCAAATCTCATTGACATTCTCCTTTTCGGAATGTGGTTCCTTCAAACATATTTCATCTTCAGCCTCTGGGAAATGGTCTTATGCCTTCACTTTTTCTTGCTTCATAAGTTGTATGAATTCTCCAAATACTGCCCACATAAACGAAAGGATACAATGAGATTTTTTGCATAATTATGGCTTTATTCAGGCAGCTGCTCTCAGATACAAACAAATTAATCAAAATATAGTTGTTCTTCAGAAATTTTCTTTTGTAGAATTGATTGGCCATGTGACATCATTATTTTCTCAAGATTGTACTTATCGTTTACACAAATAGTAGACAGCAATGGTAGAAATATACAGCTAAAGGCAAATTGGCCGAGGTTTGTTGTATACAAGGACAAGGAGGATCGAGTTAGGATAAGTTTACCAGGATCTGAATCATGAGGCCCTGGAGATGCTTCGGGGTGGTATTGAAGTGACATCAGCTTCATTTTAGAGGAGGCAAGACCAGCACAACTTCCATCATTCAAATTTACATGAGTCACCTCTACACCATCTGGGAGAGACTCAGGGTCAACAGCGTAGTTGTGATTCTGCATATGGAAGATTATAAAATGTTCAAAAATATCATTTATAAGTGAACACACAAGCTACTCATTTGAAGTACAAACAGCTCTATTTAGTAGGCGCTTGGACATGCAATTTGGAGTTTTCACTTGAGATCAGTGTTTGTACGAACTTTGATTTGGGGTCTGGGGAGGAGGTGTGTACGCAAACCTTAACCCCACCTACCTTGTGAAGGCAGAGAGAGGTTGTTTCAGAGAGAGACTCAGGCTCAAGTAAAACAACTCAAAACAGGTTTGAAAAGGAAATACAGTAACGCATATAGTCACAAGCATTTATCCATAATAGGAGCATGAAAATATGTGATTTGCTAATGCGGTTTCTTAGGATATTCTGATACTTGTTTCTGAAATATGGTTTGCTGCTTATTTGGTAAGATTGTAAGAATTGGGGAAGTTTTGATAGTCTTCACAAATTGTGGATTTTCAAGTTTATGAGAAAAAGTAAAACTTTTGAGATCCAAATTGTCTGTCCAAAAACAAAATTTCAACTTGAAATCATCTTGAGTTCAAATCATGGACAAACAGGCCCTTAAACTAAGAAAGGAGACTCATTATTATGCACCGACTGTAATACTTAAAGGGAAGTAAACATTGATGAACTGAATTTGGAAATCAACATGATAACAATCAAGCAAAAGTTCTCTATTGCACATACCTGTGCACTGATCTCAACACATCCATTTCGAAGGTTTCGAACTGGATGGTTTCCTCCGTGGTGACCGAATTTCATTTTGAATGTCTTACCCCCCAATGCTTGACCAAGCAACTGGTGACCCATACATATACCAAAAACAGGAACTTTTCCAACAAGTTCTTTTACCGCTTCAACTGCATAAGGAACTGCAGAGGGATCTCCTGGCCCATTGCTGAAAAGAACCCCATCAGGTTTCATCTTTAGGGTTTCAGATGCTGGCCATGTTGAAGGAACAACAGTGATTTTACAGCCATAGGATGCTAAGCGCCGAAGTATATTATGCTTGATTCCAAAATCATATGCAACAACCTTCATCCAACGGAAAGGACAAAAAGTAATTAGTTTTCTAACTGAAACAATGTTCTTTGCGGAATCTAAAAACTCTAACAATACTGACATTGAAAGTTTCATTATTTCTTCCATTATCATTGAACTCCCAATCTGAGCGTGTTCTATCAATCCATTGGTAAGGAGATTTGCATGAAACGCCACTGATTAGATCCACACCTACACAACGTAATACATAAATAATAGAACTCTTAAATTTTCCCAGAAATTCCAAATATTTCACTTCATTAGGAATATATGAAGATGGAGTTTTGTTTGATTATTCTTTTTGCAAAGGAGAGAAGATAGCACATTATTTGGAATTTATGAAGATGGAGTTGAAAAACAGGTTTGGAATACTTCTCAAAATTTGGAATCCAACTCCAACTTGGATTTGAAAATTTTATAAATGAGCACTGAGTTTGAAATAGAGCAAAAAATTATTCCGAAAAAAGTAAATAATTCTCATGGACAAACGGCCAGTAACTTACCCACAATGTCCCATGTACGGGACATTTCAAGAAGTTCTTCGTCACTTTTTGAATTTTCTGTGCTCAAGACTCCTATGAGGCTTCCGTCTTCTCTTAATCTTCGTGTAATTGCTCGTGTGTCAACATCATCTGTTGCATGGTAAAGTGGTTAATATATCAGAGAATTTGAATTCCCCAGTTTGAAATGGAAATGACAAGTGGCATTGTATAGGACACACGTAGGACTTACATATACCCATGATGTTCCTTTCAGCCAAATAGTCACCAAGTGTCTCTGTGCATCTCCAATTTGAGGTGCTGAGAAAAATATACAACAGGTTAATCCAGGGGTGTAAATGAGCAGGTTAGGCTGAATTTGGGCGGATCAAAATGGTTGAGTTACTAAATGGGTGGGTTGTTCACTTGCCCAAAAGAAAGAAGGTCAAGACCCAACTCGCCCAATTCTTACTAAGTTTTAATTTCTTTTGTTTTCTCTTTTGCAAGCTTTTAGTACCTAATAAAACTATATTTCTTCTTTATCAGCCCAGTCTTTTGATGGGCTGAAAAGCTAAGCTAATAAATGGGGTCATGGTTAATTTTCCCACCCCTAGGTTAAACTATAAACACCATACTGTTTGAAGACTGATCTGAAAAGCAGGGCACAGCGACCAAACCTGATACTTAAACTTCTAATGACTAATCCTGCAAGAAAGCACTGCATCGATTCTTCATCGTCTGCCCAGATAAATTTTCAAAACAGTCAAAGATTATTCAAACAAAAATAACAATTAGTCATGAAACAAAAATACTAAACGCACCAAAATTGATCCCAGTATTCCCGATGTGAGGGTTAGTCATTAAGACAAACTGGCCCGCATAACTAGGATCTGTAATTATCTCCTGGTACCTGTAATATCAGGAAATAGAAATATCTCATAAAAAGACACTCAAGAGAATCTGAAAAGGAAAAAAAACAGTGGCAAGTAGAAAGAGATGAAAGCAGAGAGGAAATAAATTCATTTTTTCCTGCATTCTCTGAATAACTCTATGAGATATATCAAGCATCCAAATTATAGGTAGCGGAGATAATATATGCTTGGGATTTACACTGTCAACTTTCCGTCCTTTCTACATTATTTCCCTTTTCACAGGCATTTAGAGACTTCTTTCATTTTCCAAAACGACTCAACTTTGTGGTGTAAGACTCAAAATTTAGATTCCTCTAAATTTAGCAAATATATACTTAAAAAGAATTTCTCCAAAGAGACAGGAGGTAGATCAGATATTCGATACAAGGTTGGAGTGGCCTCCATGGTGGTCAAGGGAGGTGAGGTTGAGACAGTTCGAGCATGAGAAGTGGAGGAGCGCAGATGTCCCAGCTCAAAGCTCCACTAGAATTTGGTCTGTATGGAGGCTACACAGATCGAAGGGAAAGAAATGATCTTCAACAGCAAGCAATAAATACAGTTACGGAATAATTTATTTATTGAGCTGAAGTGATTGTCAATGATCTTATAAAAATAGATTTAATGGAATCACAGCTTAAGCAAATTTCAAAATGTGTGCGGAATGATTCTTCACAAGCCTATTAGTTCTTTACTAGTTCATTATGACTACTCTGACTACCACTTAAATTGGAAAAGACCGAAAGCTAAGAAAATTTAGTACTTAACTTATCCTTTAAGAAGATATATAGTCTTAACATTAGCAAGCAAAAGAAATTGTGTTATACCCAGTTAAAGAGGTATTAAAAACCACTTCTCCAACTTGGGTTCCACGAGCACCAAATGATTTTGCCTTCCAAATTGAACCATCCTCAAGAACAAGTCTAGCATCTGCTAGCTTCCAAGGTCTTTCAACCAGACCTGCAGCTCATCCAGGAAAATATATAATCATTTAGAGTTCTAATAGATGCTATTAATTTCAAATAAATCTAAAATAAGGAGAATAAAAAGTCCTTGAGCTCATATTATTTGTGTATGACCTGAAAACTACCGGTATCTATAAGCAAAAGAAGTCAAAAAGGAAAAGAAAGTCATTTTTTCCAGTCAACCTCCTAGGATTTATTCTTATACTGATTGAACTGCACTATATTCTATTAAATATACTTCAGCAAAGTTTTGTCACTTTGGTTGCAGGAAGCCCATATGGATGAAGAATCTAATTTTAAAAATCTAATTGTGGGTGATTTTGGACCAATGATGCTGACTTTTCAAAAACATTGAGTTTTTTTTATGTTAACTACTAGGAGTATTATATTATAGGAGATGAACTGGTCCAACCAAACACTACACTTACAGAGTTGAGATATCACCAGAAATAACAAATAATGGACAATAATCCAACAACCTAAAGAGAAAGGGTGAAAAACGCTGAACAAAGCATAGCACTTTTTAATAGCTGAGAAAACAACAAGAAAATGCAAATGGATCCAGGGACAAAAGGATGGAAAAGAAAGACCAACCAGAAGATGCACCATCCAACGAGACATTCTTCGAAGAGCATTTAACAGTGAAAACTCTGGAATGTGCAGAGTTTTTCGAAAAAAGGGCACTGGTCATTGTGGCAGTGGACACAACACTGTGAGTCCTCGCAGCACAATCCATAACTTAGCTTCTGTAACTAAACAATTCTTCTTTCTCCCTCAATTATGATGAAACTGTGGCTACTCAGCCCTAGCAATAATTTAGGCTTTTTTCGGGTTGGACCTATTCATCAAACAATACATACATTATGTATACATAAAAATACATAGACAGAACCAGAATTTTTAGTTTATGAATTCTGAATCGCAATTTACTTCATTACTACGTACTCAATAGATTATCATCAACTGAATTTTTTAAAACAACTACATATTATCATTCATAGGTTACTTACTTCAAAAAAAATTCTTCAAAAGACAAAAAAAAAAAAGTTGATTCGCTACAAATACTTTTGTAATTAGTGTTTGCTTTTTCAGATTATTATTACTAATCAAACACAAATTAGTACAACTGATAAACATAAAAGGAAAGTATAACTTACAATTCCGCCCAGAAAATCCGGCAAATGGAACTTTTTCGGCGACAGGTGAAGGTTTGGGGAAGAAAACTTTTGAAGGACAGAAAGGGCTCAATTTCGGCCCATTACATAAAAATTGGGTTGGGCCGAGGTCCTATTCTAAACTGGGTTATCAAAATATTTCCTTTTTTTATTAGTAATAACATATACTAGCACATTATATTTATAAAATAATTACACCTTTTGTAAAAAAACTAATCTAACATGATAAATAACTATATATGTTATAACTAATAGAAAATTTCTCTGATCGACCTGGCATTATTTTCCATTAAATATATTTTCTATTGAATTTCTTCCCTTCTTAGCTCGATCCTCCCTCTGTCCTCCGCCATGTCCTGTCCCGTATGGTATTGTAAATGAGGACTTTCCGTTTGGTGAAGAAATTTTATAATGAAAAGGAAATTAAAAAAAATAATATAAAATTAATTTTCAAAAAATTTCGCCACTAAATATCAAAATAATTTTGTTCCAAATAGATTCATTAAGTCTAGATTTCTGAAATTCATTTTGTATCATACGAAAATGATAAAGGTAAGTCATATAACTTTGTTCTAAATAAAATTTCTGAGATTCATTTCGTACCATACGAAAACGATAAAAATAATTCATATAGATAATGAGTTTTAAAGCTACAAAATTCTATAATCTGAATATTAATTTATAAATGACGACAATGTTATAAATAATTCTACAATATTAAGTCGTCTTTTAATTAGTATACCAAATAATTTTCTTTATTTTCAAAACTACATATCCAAGTGTTACATATTAATTTCTACATATAAGTTAAGAACTGTTATAGAAGGATTTGCATTAGGCCCGTTTGGATATAAATTCAAATTCGGTGATTTGAAGTTGAATTTTTATTTGAATATGTAATTTTAATTTTAATTTTAATTTTATAAGTTTTTTTCTCATAAAACATAACAATTTGTGAAAATTATTAATTCCAACTCTATATCATTTTACTAATAAATCACATTTCTCCATATTTCATTAATTTATAAATAAATATTTGTGATTACATGTTATTACAAAGATTAAAATATTCATAATTTTACAAAGATCAACAAGTAAATAATAGTAGTAACTATTTATTCTTTAATAAAATCCTTAGTACACACAATCTCTTCACGTTGAGTATACTTTTTTTTTTTTTTTGCAAAATATAAAGTTATGAGTCAATTTTTACATTTAAAAAAAATTATACTAACAATTGGGAATTCAAAATTCTACTTTATGGAGAATTTGAAATTTAAACTCATGATTTGAAATTGAAATTTTGTGCAGATTTCATAAACAAACACAGATTTGAAAATCAAGAATTTAAATTGGAGTCCTAAATCATATGGTGTCTCCTAATACTTTATGTGTCTTTTCGGGAACCGGCTCCTCTCTAATGAATTCATAGAGATAAGAGAAAAGTGTAAGAAAAATTGTGAAAGATTAGTTAATAAAAATATTTTTGACTATCCGATAAAGTTGAGGCCACGTGTGAGTAATCAAGAGACCAACGGGAGGAACTAGAGGAGGGTTATGGTTTGGTTTTTTTCATGTCTCAATTTATGAGGCACATTTTCTTTTTTAGTATGTTTATTAAAGAATGTTAAGTATTTTTATTATTAGAACAATTAAACTAATGAGACATTCCTAAAAAAATAATAAGACATTCCTCCGCTTTCAGGCAAAAATGAAGATTAAAAATAACAAGATAGTTCAAGTTAAAGTATTTTCAAATTAAAAGGCAAAATAACCTTAAACGAGACATATAAAGCGAGTATATATCCATCTATATTAAATTGCGGTACAAAAACAAGTTTCCTATAGAAAATAGATAAGAAAATCGAAGAGAGGCAAACACGTTTTCGAAATAGAAAACAAAATCTAGGACATATTAACAAATTGGTAGACGCTACAGACTTAATTGAATTGAACCTGGTATGAAAATTTACCAAATGATCACTTTCAAATTTGAAATTAACTGATAATTTCGAGTCAAACCATGTTTCCTTAAATTTGTTTTGGAGTGTAAGTCTCAAAAATATTTCCCTTTTTCTCATTAAATTTTGTCTCAAGTCAGACAATAACAACTATCAAGTAAAATGTCATGGACAGGTAGACTATCACTTATTATGAATATAGTTGTAATTACTTTTTTAAGTAATCTAATAATATTAGAAATTAGTTTGACGTTTCATATTTTCTTAGTCAACAACACTGAATTGAGTAAATAAATCACATAAATTAAATATGTTTAGTAAGATATTATTAGAACCAAAATAAGAATTTATGGATATTTCAAGTAATAAAGAGGAACAAAAATAAAATAAAAGAGTAAACAAACAAGGTGGGCGAGCAAACAAAAGTTCAAAACGGCCGAATAACAATTTATAGCAAAACATAGAACAAAGCTGTTCTGTTTTTGTTTTTTCTCTATCAACAATGCTCCTCTGTTGTATTCTTCCTTCTGCAGCGACAGATATTATCGGATTTTCCGATTCTCTAATTCTTCCATGTTTATAAATCAAATCAAATTCTCAATCTTATTGCTTCGATCTCACCAGGTAATTTCTTCTTCATCTTTCTCAATTTTTAATCAAGTTCATTTTCTTAGTGGAGATCCAGAAAAAAAGGTTGTAATGGGAGAGATCGATACGAAATCAATTGAATCAGTCCAAGCTGCACTTTCATTGTTCGGAGAGAAATCGTGTGATCACAAGAAGAAATACAGATCCACTTCATGTATCAATGTAAGCCAATTGGCCAAACTTGCTTCACGAAATTTACTCATGTTTACCAACTTTTGTGCTTACTATAACGATGTTGATGAAATATCATAGTAAAATATAGATTGGCTTGAGTTGATTATTTTTTCGATCAAGTTTATTCGTTGTTCCCTCAAGATATGTTTGAGACAGAAGCGTAGCTTTTGTTGTTGTAAGACTAGAATTAAAGTATATAAAGTGCTACTCTCTTCGCTCTAATTTATGTAATATAGTTTGAATTGACATGTAGTATAAGAACAAAATGAAAATTTTTGGAACTTATATATTAAACATGTCATAACATTTGCGTGTGGTTATATAACTTTTGAAACTTCTGCATTTAAGCATGTCTTTTTTTTTTCTTATAACCATGTGTCCAGGCCAGCTTGCGCGTGGTTATAAAAATTTCTCAAAATGAGAAGTTTTGAGTTAATTTTTCCAAATCTAGAAGTGTTTTAACTGATATGTGTGAGATACTGTGTTCTTTAAACAAATTGATATCTTAATAGCCAATTTACAATGTCTGATTGAAGCTAATTATTTGTTCATGTTTTTCGTTGAATTAACAGGAGATGGAGAAAGAAAATGATACAGAAAGTGTGTTGAAATACTTGGCAAACCTCAAAATTCAACTTGAGGCGAAGGATTCTGCACACAAGCAAGCACTTCTTAAGCTAGACCATCACGAAAATACAGTTGATGAACTATACACTTTGCTAATGAGCTCTGAACTAGAGAAGGAGATTTACATGATCGAATGTAGAGGATTAAGGGTTCATGTACATGAGCTTGAGTTGAGAATTCAGGAGATGGATGACCGATTTTTGGAGTCTGTAATGATACGAGAACAACTCTCACATGCCACCGATGAGTTGAGGGACACACAAAGAGAACTAGTGACAGCAAGAGATGCTAAGCTTGAAGCCTTGTCACAAGTAGAAGTGATGGAAAATTCTTTGAGCACCGAAAAGTTAAAGACTGATGAGCTATCGCGGGATGTGTCAAAGCTGAATGAGACTGTTGCACACTTGAGAATGACTGCTACTAAGGCAGAAGAAAGCGCTGCGCTTTTGGAATTAGAAGCAGCAAATGCTAAAGAAGAAGTTGTGTTTATGAGACATCAATTGGAAATGATGCAGGATTTAGAGAATGAGCTATTGGACAAATTTGCACTTATTGATTCAATGAAAGCAGAACTCCAAGAATTGAAAGAAGTTCGCGCTTCTTCTGAGGAAGTACCTTCAGATGCCGGTGCTAGTGAGATGAAAAAGTTAAATGAAGCTCTCGAATTACAAGAGAGAAAAAATTGGGATCAGTCCGGTTATATCAGTCTATTGGAATCAGAACTCAGGCAATTAAAAGGGGAACTGAACAAAGCCAACGAAGAGTCTACTCGTGCCAATGCAGACTTTGGAACAATTAACATTGAGCTGGATCAGATTAAAAAGGAAATGATTGAGACTAGAGAAAAGGAATCAGAAGCACAAGTTGAGATCGCATTCCTAAAATCCGAACTTCACAAAGGGAAGTCGAAAATTTCAGCATCAGAGGTTACTGATTCAGTAGCCAAGAGTGAGAAATCAGCTTTACATCTCGCGTTACAGCAGCTGGCCTTAGAGGCTGAAGAAGCTAAAAATGAAAACAGGAGATTAAAAGAAGCCGGTAAGGCATCAGAAGAAGGAAAAGGAGAGGCTAAGGCCTATATGACAATACCAAAGGAGGAGTATGATCAGTTACATGATGAACCAAATGAAATTCAAGTACTGAAGAAAGAACTAAAAACATCAACTGTGAAAATTAACGAGTTGAGGACGAGAGCTGAGCAGGCGATAAGCAGAGCTGAGGCAGCTGAAAAGGGTAAATCAGCACTTGAAAATCAGATAAAGAGGTGGAAGGAACATAAAGAGAGAAAAAAGGCTGCATTAGCAGCACTTAGAGAGGAGTCCATTTCCAGAGAAATCACTGAATACAAATCTGATACTTCTCCGAAAACACTACAACCACTTGGTAAGGTTCTCAAGATGAAGTTCTAGTTTCACCAAATCTATTGCATTACTTTCCTATAGGAATAACAATGATATCCACAATCATCGTATGGACGATAGTAGTACATAAGTGACGTCTTCCTCTTCAGTGCCAAGCATAATTGCCTCGCGTAAAGTCAGAAGAAAGAAAACTGACATCGGTATATCTTTGAAAGCTCAAACGGAGGGAATAAACGGACTCCTCTAAGGCTACTGAAGCCACTTTAGTGCAAA